TCCAGAGTACTAATTCTTGAGTGCAGAGCCAGGAGTAACCCCTGGGCATCTCTAGGTGTCTCACCGGCCCGCCATCATACACACACACACACACACACACACACACACACACACACACACACACCACCCTGGTGGGTCAGTTTCTATCTCTCCCCTACTGTGACTTTTTTCCTCGACAAGCTCCTACTTGGGGCTGGAGAGACAGTACAGGAGTTAAAGCACTTACCTGGCGTATTGACCAATCTGAGCTTGATCCCCAGCTACAAATAAGGTAGCCCTAAGCCCTGCCAGGAGTGATCCTTGAGCTCGCCAGGGATCACTTGTAGCCCCCAACCCAATAACTCTCCCTCAAAAAAAAAATCTTCTCCCTTATTCTTATTTTCTTTTTTCTTTTTTTTTTTCTATTTTTTGCTTTTTGGGTCACATCCAGCGATGCACAGTGGTTCCTCTTGGCTCTTCACGCAGGAATCACTCCTGGTGGTGCTCGGGGAACCATATGGGATGCTGGGAATCAAACCCGGGTTGGCCGCATGCAAGACTAATGCCCTACCTGCTGGGCTATCGCTGTAGCCCCTATTCTTCCTTTCTTGACTGGTCTTTTGAACTCAGTAAAGGGGAATATGGACATTGCTAAGACCTGACCATTGGAGTCAGGCATGCAGTTCCCAGCCCAGGCTCTGCCCCGCTTGCCACTGACCATACACCTGCTAGGTAAGCTCAGACGAGGAGGCGGTGACAGGGGGAGGGGTGACAGAGTGGGGGGTGACAGTAGGGAATGACAGTGAGGGGGTGACAGACAGGGGTAACAGTGGGGGGTGACAGTGAGGGGGTGAGAGAGTGAGGCAGTGACAGTGGCGGGGGGCGGTGGGGAGCATCCCATCTGGCTCCAGCTCTGAGGGCGGCTGGGGCAGGACACCGGAAGTGGGTTCCATCCTGTCTCTTCCCCTTTTTCCAAGGCAGTGTGGCCCCAGGCACTAGTCCCGAGGGACCGTCCTGGGCTGTCGGCTGGTCTCACGTGTGAGGGCAAACGCTTGCCTTCTAGTGTCGCCCTGGCGGACAGAGCCCCTCCTGGTGCTGCTTGGTGGAGGGGCGGGGGGGGGGGGGGGGACCAAGGCTCTGCATTTCCACAGCTGTCGGAGGCTGAGTCACCAGACACACGCTGTTCTGTTCCCTTGCATTTCAGGATCACTTTTTTCTTATATCGATGACAAACTCTTGGTTAAAAAAAAAATATCATTCACAGAGCCACAGTATTAGATTGACCCTCAGACCTGGCATCTGCCCTGTGGGTGGAAATGTCAGTGTCTGAAGAGTGCAGCTTGGGGCTGGAGTGATAGCACAGTGGGTAGGGCATTTGCTTTGCACACGGCTGACCCAGGTTGAATTCCCAGCATCCCATATGGTCCCCTGAGCACCGCCAGGAGTAACTCCTGAGTGGAGAGCCAGGAGTAACCCCTGTGCATCACCGGGTGTGACCCAATAAAGAAAAAAAAAGAATGTAGCTTCCTGGGGCAAGAACCATAGGACAGCGGGGAGGGCGCTAGACTTGCAGGTGGCCGACCTAGGTTCAACACCCGGAGCACCATAGAGTCCCCTGAGCACTGCCAGGAGTGATCCCTGAGCACAGAGTCAGGAGAAAGCTCTGAGCACTGCCTGGTGTGATCCCCAAACAAAAGCAAACACACAGAATGTGGCTTTCTCATTTTACAGGAATAGAACAGGAAACTCGGGTTTCTAGTCATGGATAGGGCTGGAAGCCTAATGATCTCTCCCACAGTCTTAGTAGCCTTTGAGGACGTTGCTCCAGAAGCATCTCCGAGACCTGCCCCTCAGCCCGAGTGGAGCCTGCCTCTCTCCCGGCCGCTGCCTTCCTGCTGTGCGTTGTCTGCTTTTGATTTCAGGCGATTCCCCAGGACTGGGTTTCCCTGAGTTCTGTTGATCTGAGTGCAGCGGGCCACAGCCACAGGGGCCATGCTGGGGAGGGAGTAGCCTCGGGGGTCCACAGGCCGCCCAGAGCAGTTGCATGAGGTTGCATGGGGGCGATGAGAGGATGGAGTTCGACTCTGACTTTCACTTCATTGGGGGTCTCGGAGGAGTGTTGGGGAAATTTCTGGCACTCCTGCTGTCACCCTGACTTCCTGCTTCTCAGCTGGGCCCCTCGGAGCCCTTCTTGTCTCCTGTCCCTCCCCAGCCGGACTCCCGGGCATGCACATGCCCAGAGCCAAGTGTGTCGCTGCCCCTTCTCAGGCCTTTCTCTGGCACCTTGTGGCCTGTGTGTGTGGCTGTGGGGTCCAGCCCCGCTCCCGCCTCCACACTGGGCCTCTGCTTCACCAGGACCCCTGGTTTTCCGGGACATGGGAGTCAGTGACTCACAGCCTCTGTCCAGGCTTCCCCTTCCCTCAAGTGAGCTCGTGCCTAGTGACCTCCTACTCATCCTTCAAAACCCAGTGCTAAGTGTGCACTGGAGGCCTGCAGCCCCTCCCAATAGTTCTTGGCCACTGGGGTCAAGGAGATGCTGTGTGGCCCTAGGGTCTACACCCAGCGGTTCTCCGGGTCACACCCAAAGCACGTGCCTCAGACAGTGTAAACCTCTTGGGCCCCTTAAAGTTCATTTAAAGATGCTGCCCCCAGCCTTCTGAGACCACTTTGCACTCTGAATGTGTTTCTGTTCTTGAAACCTCATTGTGTGGCCATGATCGCGTCTGAAGCACTACCCATGGGGCCAGAGAGATCATCCAGAAAGCCCCAGTACTGGCCAGAAAGCCCCAGTACTGAGGCACAGAGCCAGGAGTGAACCCTTCTGGGTGTGGCCCCCAAACAGAACAAAAACCCCAAATAGCTCGCTTTGATGGTGCCCAGTTTTCAGAGTTCAGCATGGGAGGGCACTGGGCTCAGCACGTGCTGCATGTCCTGAGTTCCACCCCAGGGCCTGTAAGGGACACATATCCCACCACCAAGGACACTCGGTCTCAGCCCTTCACCCACGGGTGCCAGTTTCCGTAGTGTAGTGGTTATCATGTTCGCCTGACACCCACGGGTGCCACACTCCTGGGCTCCTCTCTCAGTGCTCGGGAGGTGCTGAGTGTGAGGGATAGATCTCGTGGCGGGTGCCCCCCTGTGGGGTGAGGCCGGCTTTGGGCTGCGGTGGCAGGAGTCTCTCCCCATCTCCTCACAGTGCTATGCTTCCTCTCCACCTCCCATTCCAAGTGGCCGCCTCTGGCCTCCTGGAGACAGGCCCACGGGACTGCGGGGCCCAGCAGCCAACGGTAGCAGGCACCATGGCAACCATCCTCCTCCCCGGGGCCTGGGCGGGGGTGGAGCTGCAGAGCCCGGGCACCCATGGAGGCCGCTGATGGGGATCCTGCGAGGGGGTTCCCTGGGGGCCTGGGCGGCTTCCGTCCTCCCTGGAGGGACCCCCCATGCCTGAAAGGTCCCGTCCCAGCAGGGGAAGTGCTGCTTCCACCTCCATCCCGGATGAATGGCTGGGCCCAGCCTCCCGGGAGACGCTTGGCTTCGTCCCCGAGTAGGAATGCCAACCCCCTCGCCACCCCGCAGCCGCAGCCAGAGAGGAAGGAAGAGGGGGCTGGAGGAGGAGGCGCGGGGTTGCCAAGCAAGGTAGTCACTGTGGCGGAGTCACAAAGGCCTCCTTGTGCCCCGTGGCAGACGGCCCCGAGGCAGAGCCGCCGTGGCTGCCTCCCAGGACCCAGCCTCCAACTCCACCTGGACTCGCCTCGCTCTTAGCAACCCGCAACCCGCGCCCGGCCGGGCTCCGAGGCCCCTGCTGAGGGCAGCCGGAGCAAGAGCACGCCGGGGAGGGTGCTGGCCTCGCATGTGGCTGACCCAAGTTCCATCCCAGGACCTCAAATGGTCCCCTGGGCACCGCCAGGAGTAATTCCCGAGTGCAGGGCCCAAAAGTAACCCCGGAGCATTGCCGGGTGTGACCCCAAAATAAAACAAACGAAGGCAGAGTCTTCTCTGCCTCCTCCCCAGAGGTGGGGGGTGTTGGGAGGGCCTGGGAGGCTCAAAGCTGTCTGACCATCAGACGACCTTCAGCTGACCTCCATCCTTTCCACAGTCAGCCTGGAAGAGCTGACTTTGGAAATGATGGTCCAAGACCCACATGAAATGCTCAGCATTGGGGGCTGGAGTGATAGCACAGCAGGTAGGGCGTTTGCCTAGCACAGTGGCGGACCTAGATTCGATTCCCAGCATCCCATGTGGTCCCCTGAGCACCACTAGGAGTAATTCCTGAGTGCATGAGCCAGGAGTAAGCCCTGTGCATCACCGGGTGTGACCCAAAAAGCAAAAAAAGAAAGAAAGAAAGAAAAAGAAAGAAAGAAAGAAAGAAAGAAAGAAAGAAAGAAAAAGAAAGAAATGCTCAGCGTCCCCTGGCTGTCCAGGAGAACGACAGCCAATGACAGGTGCTTGTATCCCCTTGGTAGAGAAAGGACAGTCTCGACCCCCACCCCCATTGCCCTCCCATAGCTGCTCCTGGCCAAGGCCCTTCTGTGCCCAGGAGCCATGAGCCCTTGGTGGCCTCCCTGACAGAGAGACTTGTCCCCTTGTCCTTGCCCCCGGGTGCCTCCCCACCCCAAGGGTTTACCCTCGAGTTCCAGCGGTCCTGCCCGCACTCCAGCGCCTGCTGGGTGGACATGTCACTACCCCAGGGCAGGCAGCTCGGATGACCAATGTGGTGTCGGTGACTCCTGCGCCCAGCACCCGACACCCCCGGGCAGACAATGCTGGCAGTGTCTGGGCCCTCCAGGGGACCAGCCGGGTTCTGTGTCACCGCCAGGAAACAGGCCACCTGAGCAGCACCTTTGTCTGCTGAGGAGGCAGCGGGCAGCTGGCCGGGGACACTGGGCTCCCGGGCAGCCCTGACACGGCTGGGGGACTCCAGGGATGAGATCCAGCCCGTTGGCGGGTGGTGTGGCTGCTATGGGGGGGCAGGAGCTTGGGCCCCTCACAGTCCAGGGACTAATCTCAGCACTTCCTCATAGGGTTGTTGGGAGGCGTCCATGGCGTAATGTACGTACGTGCTTGGCACCCGGCTGGCATGGAGCGGGGCTCGGGGACACTCCCTTCCCAGCATGGGGACACTCTGGGCTTCTGCTGAGTCTCATAACCCAGTCACTGTCCTGCGTGTATGTTCTGAGCACGGAAAGGGGCATGAGGATCCCTGAAACACACCAGCCCCTCCACCTGGTACCCCGGGAGCTCTGAGCTGATGCCCAGGGCAGGCTGCTTCCCCGGACAGCCCCCAGCCCTGCATGAGACCCCCACCCCCTTAAAGAAACCCTGTAGTTCCTAGGGACTCCAGGCAGGACCCTGACAGTGTGACTGCCCGTCCCCTAGATAGGAGGACCCCAGCTGGACAGTGCCTACAGAAAGCCTCACTTCTCTGGGCCTAGGGGAGAATCCTGCCCCTCCCTCACCTACAGCGCGCGCGCGCGCACACACACATGGCTGCTCCTCTGCCTGAGCCCTGGCCTGACAGTGCCTGCAGAGAATCTCACTTCCTCTGCCCCCCCCACCAGCTGCCTACACACACACACACACACACACACACACACACACACACACACACACACACACACGTGTTGCTGCTCCTCCGCCTGAGCCCTGGCCTGGTGCATGCAGAATGAGCACGTGCATTTGTGGGGTGCTCGGCGTGCCTGTCTGCTGCATGGGGGTGCAGGGGGAAGGGGTGCCGGGGCAGCTGCATGGCCTGGGCGGGACCCACTGCCAAGCACACCCGCTGAGCGCTTCGCAGCGCCTCGTGGCATGGCAGGAACATGGCGCCGGGTCATGTGCGAGCGTTCCTGTGTGTCTCTCTACACGTGTGCTGCTGTGTCGCTCTGTCTTGTCTCCCCTGTAGACGGGAAGCCCCCCTGAAACCACGCACCAGCGGGCACCCCGGGAAGGTGACGTCGAGACTTAGCCCAGCCCAATCTGGGGTTCCTGGTTCTGCTGCAGGACTCCTCCAGCCTGCAGCCCCTGCCGCGCGGGTGGGAGTTCGAGTGTCAGGGTCCGAGGGCGCTGTGGGCACCACAGTGAGCGAGCTGGACCCTCAGCCCCCAGCCCCCGGCGGCGCCACAGGGCCGGGTGTGCGTGAGGACACCCCGGGACTCTGACCCGGCCACTCTCAGCCGGGCGTCGGGACCCTGCTCAGTTTTCCGGAGAAGGCGCTGGGCCCGGGGGTCCTGCCAAGGAGAAGCCATGCCGGGCACCGGCGAGAGGATGACGTGGCCAGGGCCGGCCCTGCCCGCGGCCCCCCCAACCCACCCTCTCTCCTCAGCCCCTGGGACTCCGTCCATCCCGCCCCTCACCCGGACCCGCAGCCTCATGGCCATGTCCCTCCCGAGCAGCAGACGGACGCCCGCCGCGCCCCGCAGGTGAGTGTCCTTCTCCCGGCCCCGTCTCTCGGGGGGTGAGCAGCGGCCCCCTCCTGGCCGTGCCAAGCCCGGTTCTGTGATGGTTCTGTGAGACCAAGACCCTCAGATCTGGGGTCACCAACGCTCTAGCTGCACCCGGCGTGAGTGGAGGGTCCCAGGCTTCCTGGAACCCCCGAGTTTCACCCTGCGTGTCCCCCCTTCCACTCCTGTCTCAGTCTGTGCAGGACCCCTCCCTCTGGGCTGTGGGCACCCAAGTAATGAGGCCCCCTGGGAGCAGGTGCCCCTGTGAGCTGTCTTCTGGTTTCCATCTTGATCGCACTGTCTGTTCTGTCACCCCTGTCTGTGCACCCCCCTCCCCCTCTGCTTCTCTCCCCGGCGGTGACCCCAAGTGGGGGCCCTTGGGGCCGTAGTGGCCTGGCGGTGTTTGCCCAGTGCCCGCAGCTGTCCACCAGCCAGAGCGACCACCTGCCTCTTCTTCCCGCCTCCAGGCGCACGTCCCCACCTGTGAGCGTGCGGGACGCCTGCGGGGCCTCCACGCTCAGCAGCAGCAGCAACTCGGGCTCCTGCAAGGGCAGCGACGGCAGCCCCACGCCCAGGTAATGGCTGCCGAAGCCCGGGGCAGGGACCCCGCCCCCACTGGGGACGCTCACCCACAAGGGGCACTCGCTGCACCGCTGGGACTCTCCCGTCACTGTGTGACCGTCCATCACTGTGTGACTGTCTCTGTGGGACCATCTGTCTCCATGACTGTCCATCACAGTGTGACTGTATCTGTGTGGCTGTCCATCACTGTGTGACTGACTGTCTCTGTGTGACCATCTGTCTCTGTGACTGTCCTTCACTGTGTGACTGTCCATCTCTTTGTGACTGTCCATCACTGTGTGACTGTCTGTCTCTGTGGGACCATCTGTCTCCCTGACTGTCCATCACAGTGTGACTGTCTCTGTGTGGCTGTCCATCACTGTGTGACTGACTGTCTCTGTGTGACCGTCTGTCTCTGTGACTGTCCTTCACTGTGTGACTGTCTCTGTGTGACCATCCATCTCTGTGTGACTGTGTGTCTCTGTGTGACCGTCTGTCTCTGTGACTGTCCTTCACTGTGTGACTGTCCATCTCTTTTTGACTGTCCATCACTGTGTGACTGTCTCTGTGTGACCATCCATCTCTGTGTGATTGTGTGTCTCTGTGAAACTGTCTGTCTCTGTGACTGTCCTTCACTCTGACTGTCCATCTCTGTGTGACTGTCTAAATTTGACTGTCCATCTCTGTGGAACTGTTCAACACTGTGAGACTTGTCCATCACTGTGTGACTGTCCATCTCTGTGTGACTGTCCATCTCTGTGAGACTATCCATCACTGTGTGACTGTCCATCTCTGTATGACTATCCATCACTGTATGACTATCCATCACTGTGTGACTGTCCATCACTGTGTGACTGTCTCTGTGTGACCATCCATCTCTGTGTGACTGTCTGTCTCTGTGCGACCGTCTGTCTCTGTGACTGTCCTTCACTCTGACTGTCCATCTCTGTGTGACTGTCTAACTTTGACTGTCCATCTCTGTGGAACTGTTCAACACTGTGAGACTTGTCCATCACTGTGTGACTGTCCATCTCTGTGAGACTATCCATCACTGTGTGACTATCCATCTCTGTGAGACTATCCATCACTGTGTGACTCTCCATCTCTTTGTGACTGTCCATCACTGTATGACTATCCATCACTGTGTGACTGTCCATCACTGTGTGACTGTCTCTGTGTGACCATCCATCTCTGTGTGACTGTCTGTCTCTGTGTGACCGTCTGTCTCTGTGACTGTCCTTCACTCTGACTGTCCATCTCTGTGTGACTGTCTAAGTTTGACTGTCCATCTCTGTGGAACTGTTCAACACTGTGAGACTTGTCCATCACTGTGTGACTGTCCACCGCTGTGTGACTATCCATCACTGTGTGACTGTCTCTGTGTGACCATTCATTTCTGTGTGACTGTCCTTCTCTGTTGGACCATCCGTCTCTGTGGGACTGTTTGTCTTTGTGGAACCATCCATCTCTGTGTGACCATCTGTCTCTGTGGCTGTTCTTCACTCTGTGACTGTCCATCACTGTGTGACTGTCTAACTCTGACTGTCTATCTCTGGAGAACTGTTCAACACTGTGAGACTTGTCCATCACTTGTGACTGTCTGTGTGACCATCCATCTCTGTGTGACTCTTCTTCTCTGTTGGACCATCCATCTCTGTGGGACTATTTATATCTGTGTGACCATCTGTCTCTGTGAATGTCCTTCATTCTGTGATTGTCTCTGTGTGACTGTTCATCTCTGTGGGACTGTCCATCAGTCTGTGACTGTCCATCTGTGTGACTGTCTAACTCTGACTGTTCATCTCTGTGGAAATGTTCAACACTTTGAGACTTGTCCATCACTGTGTGACTGTCCATCACTGTGTGATCATCCATCTCTGTGTGACTGTCCGTTCTGTGAAACTGTCCATCACTGTGTGACTTCCATCTCTGTGTGACTCTTCATCTCTGTAAGACTGCCCATCTCTGTGTGGCTATCCATCTCTTTGTTACTGTCCATCACTGTGACTGTCCATCTCTTAGGAATGTCCATCTCTGTGTGACTGTCCATCACTGTGTGACTGTCCATTTCTGTGGGACTCCCTTATCACTGGCGTAACTCTCACCTTCACTGACCATGCGACCTGGAGCCAGGCACATCCCTCCGAGCCTTGGCTCCCATGTATGAGATGACCACAGGCACCAGCCCAGCGGCATGGAGCCCAGGGCAGTGACCGGAACCATGAGCCAAAAGATTGCCTTGAAAGTGGCCCGGGGTGCAGTGGTGGATGGGAATAATGGCATGTGTTACAGGAAGGCAGCTAGAGGAGAAAAGCAGGAGGCATCACAGGCAACAGGGAAAGAGGTGATGGGGGACCCCAAGATCATGAAGTCAGGGCTGGGAGGTAGCACCCCATCGTCATCCCCCAGGGTCGAAATCCAAGCTGAGGGGCAAGAGTGCATGGGCTTTGGGTTCAGTCACTTCCCCACTCTGAGTCTTATTTCCCTAACAACCCAACTCTGCAAGGTGTTGCTGTCTACACCGGCAAGCATTGTTGTCTACACCCGCAACCCTTGGCCTGCTGGGACACACATGACAGGTAGCACGCATGTGCAGTTCCCTCACCCGGTTGCCCTGGCTTGGCCCCACCCAGAGCCAGGGGCCTACAGGAGAGCCAGTGCGGGTTGGTTACTTTCACACCTTTTGCTCACAGTGTTTGAGACGGGATGGTCCCGACCTTCAGACTGTCCACTGAGCCCTGGAGGGGGCTTCTAGCACCACATCCACCACCTCAGGCCCCCAGCTCTGGGGCCCCTGAAGGCCTCACTGCAGACAGTGACTCAGGCCACGGAGAGGCAGGAGACTTGAGTTGTCTGTTTTCCTTCTCAGTTTTAGATCACAGCTATAAACACACGCATGCACACACACAGAACCAGGCATTTACTAGCATGTGTGGGCAATGCTGTTCCGGGCACTGGAGAAAAGCTGAAACAGTTACTGCCTCTCTGATCTTCTGCTGTTGCTAGTTTTATCCTGATTTCTTCACTTGGAAGTGAGGAGGAAAAACATTACTATTTTTTTTAGTGTTGCTGTTTTTCTGGTTGGTTGGTGTTTTTGGGTTTAGGGGGCACATCCAGCAATGCTCAGGGCTTACTCCTGGCTCTGTGCCCAGGGGGTCACTCCTGGGGGCGCTGCTCCAGGGACGAGTCACATGTGGTTTCAGTGATGAACTGGGATTGGCTGCAAATGCCTTCACCCCATACTTTCTCTTCAACCCTCGTTTTTGTTTGGGTGCCTGGGAGGACCTTATCTCATGTGTGCCCGAGAGTGCACACATGCATGTGTATGTGTATGTGTGTGTACCTATGTGTGTATGCACACATGTGTGGGCACGTGTGTGCGTGCGGGTGTGCACGCGGGTGTGCACGTGTGTTCGCACGTGTATATGCACATGTGTGTAAGTGTGTGCGTGTGTGTGTGTGTATGTGTGTGCGCGTGCACGTGCAGACATGGGCATGGGCTGGCGTCCTCATCCAGAGGGCACAGGGAGGTACAGAGGATGGGGGTCCACACTGACCGTGGACATGTCCTACAAGTGCTCCAGCCCCCGCCTACTTGCGTGCCCATAAGGGTGGGGTATGGGGCTGTGGGCACAGTCAGAGTGGGGACCACAGGGCGCAGCCCACAGACAGGGGGACTTTGGGGTGGGGGAAGGGAGCCCACTGCAGGGAGCCCGCATTCCTCCGCTCCGGGAGCAGCTCTGGGCCTGGATTCCCGGCATTGGTCAAGAGCCTGTGTGCAGACCCTATAGCGTGTCCCACACCCCTAACTTCAGGGTCCTGCTGCGAAATAAACTCCGAAGCACTGGAGTGTACAGGGCCACACATGGCACTGTGGCGGAAGCAGCTCAGCCCAGAGCTGTCTGGTGGCCACGAGAAGGGCTGCTTAGTTCAGCCCGTGTCCTCCGGGAGGCCCAGAGCCTGCAAGGCTGGCCCAGCCCCCGTTGGCTCCCTCCCACCGGCCCCTGCCCCCTTGCAGGCGCTCCATGAAGTACATGCTCTGCAGCGACAACCATGGCATCAAGCCGCCAGCACCTGAGCAGTACCTCACGCCGCTGCAGCAGAAGGAAGTCTGCATCCGACACCTGCGGGCCCGGCTCAAGGACACACAGGACCGGCTCCAGGACCGGTGAGTGGTGGCCAGGGCCGGGCCGGGAACTCCCAGCCACCCACTGTGGGTGGAAGGGGTGTCTTGGGTCACATCCAAACCCAGAGCTGCTCTCTCCTGCCCAGGGAAGCCCAGTCAGACCCCTTTTTTCCCAAAGCACCCAGCCCCTGGGTCCCTGCACACGGTGGCTGATGGGAGCTGTCGGTCCACCCATGCGTCCTCTCTTGTCCCCCTGGGCCCTTTCAAGGAAGGCGTTAGAGATCCAGGGGCACTCGTCCCCGCTCCCCTGTCCCACTAGGGGGCGACACCCCTTTGGTCTTTCTTTCTTTCTTTGCTTACTCCCAGAGGGTCACCCCAGGTCACTGGTGGGGGGGCCTTGAAGCTTTCATCCACCAGCACTAATAGACGACCTGGAATCAGGGACCCTTTTCTCCAGGCTCCTGCCTGGCCCCCGTTCCCAGGGGCCCAGCTAAGCCCAATCCTGGGCCATGCGGGTCACCGCTCACCCTCCTGGTTTCACCCTATCTGGTCTGGCTGCTCTGTCTTCTGAGGAAACTGTCATGGACTGTGTCCATTCATATGCTCAGCTGGCTGTGTGCCGGGCTGGGGGCACTGGAGGGGGGAATGCCCTCGGCAGCTGGGAAGACCCCCTCCCCCCCCAGCTACTTTTTCATTCATTTGGGGGTATTAGTGGGGTTTTTTTCCATTCTTTTTTTAAAAAGATTATTTTTAATGAATCACTGTGAGATTCAGTTACAGACTTATGAAGTTGCATGATTACGTTTTAATCAAACAATGTTCGAGTACCCATCCCTCCACCTGTGCCCATTCTCCACCACCAATGTTCCCAGTATCTATCCCTCCCTCCACTCCCACCCCTTCCCACCCCCACCCTGCCTCTGTGGCAGGCACATTCTCTCTTACTCTCTCTCTCCTTCAGGGTGTTATGGTTTGCAGTACAGGTACTAAGCAGCCATAATGTTTGGTCCATAGTCTGTTTTCAGCACCCATGTACCATCCCAAGTGAGCCCTCCAACCATCATTTACTTCGTGGTCCCTTCTCCATTCCAGCTGCCTTTTCGCCCAGCATATGACATCAGCTTCCAAGCCATGGAGCCATCCTCTTGACTCTTATCTCTACTATCCTTAGGTGTTAGTCTCCTATTATGTTACTTTTTATTCCACAAATGAGTGCAGTCATTCTATGTCTGTCCCTCTCTTTCTGACTCATTTCACTTAGCATGTTACTCTCCATGTCCATCCACTTATATGCAAATTTCATGATTTCATCTTTTCTGACAGTTGCATAGTATTCCACTGTGTAGATGTACCAAAGTTTCTATAAGGGGGTTTTGTTTTAGTTTTGGGTTTGGGGCCATACCTGGCAGTGTTCAGGGTCACTCCTGGCTCTGCACTCAGGAATCACTCCTAGCAGTGCTCAGGGTGCCATATGGGATGCCGGATATTGAGCCTGTGTAAGGCAAGTGCTCCCTCCTCTGTACTATCTCTCCAGCCCCTCATTTTTATTTTTTAAACCAGTAACAGGATTGGAGAAAGGACAGCAGGTAGGACACTTGCCTTGCATGTCTCCCCAGCAACCCACATGTTCTCCTGAGAACTTCCAGGGTGATCCCAGAGCACAGAGTCAGGAGTCAGCCCTGAGCACTGTCAGAAGTGACCCCAAAAATAAAACAATCAACAAACATAACTATAATAGGGGCATGCTGGAGGATCTCTCCATGGCCGAGCTCTTATTCTGCGTGCAGGGGTGGTGAGGGCAGGTTTGATCTACCTACTGCAGGGTATGAAATGCTGATCGCCACCCTGAGTTCAAAGCAGGGAGTAACCCCTGAGAACAACCAATTGTGGTTCAATAAAAATAAATAAAATAAAGTAGATCCAGAAAATTCTGTGACAGGACTAGGGATGTATTCAGTTCCCTGAAAACCTTCCACAGGCCCACTAACTGCCACCTAGCCCCCCCCAAACACACACACACACACACACACACACACACGTACATCCAAAACAAAACCCAAAACACTAACAGGTGTGGGGTTTTTTGTTTGTTGGTTTGTTTTGTTGTTGTTGTTTGTTTGCGGGCCATATGCAGCAGCGTTTAGGGCTTGTGGTCAGGAATCACTCCTGACAGGCCTGGGGGACCATAAAGGGTACCAGGGATGAAATGCAGATTGGTCACGCACAAGGCAAACACATACCTGCTGTACTATACTCTGGCCCCACACAGGACCAGTTTTTTGAGAGGAATTCTCATGCTACACAGTTCGCCTGTTTAAAGGTACAATTCCGGGGCCAGAGTGATAGGACAGTGTGTAGGGCATTTGCCTTGCATGCCGCCCACCCAGGTTTGATCTCCGTCATCCCAAGCACTGGCAGGAGTGATTCCTGAGTGCAGAGCCAGGAATAACTCCTGAGCATTGCTAGGTGTGTCCTAGCATCGCGGGATGTGTCCCAAAAAGCCAAAAAATAAACAGATAAAAGAGTACAATATGCTTCTAAGCATATTCATGTGATTATCTAATCCTATTTTCATCACTCGAAAAAGAAATTCCATGCCCAGTAGCAATCACAGCCCCCCTGGCCCCCACCTCTTCTGTCCCTGGCCACTGTTGCTCGTCTGTCTCTGTGGGTGTGTCCGTGTGGACTCACCAGGCAGGACACCTACAGAATGTCCCACCACGTCCCCTTCACCAGAGCTCTGCCAGCAGCCCATCCCAGTTGGGTGTTGAATACAGGAGACTGCAGGTGGCTGAACCTCTTGGTCTGTAGAACTGGGATTTCTTTTTTCTTTTTTTTTCTTTTTGGGTCACACCCGGCCATGCACAGGGGTTACTTTTGACTCTGCACTCAGGAATTACTCCTGGCAGTGCTCGGGGGAACATATGGAATGCCAGGAATCAAACCTGGGTCGGCCGCGTGCAAGGCAAACGCCCTGCCTGCTGTGCTATTGCTCCAGCCCTGGGACTTCTTCTTCCACCTTCCATCCCCTCCTCTGGGATGCCCCAGATCCACTCAGCCCTTTGCACCTGCGGAAGCAGACGGCCCACCTTCCGCTTCCCTTCCCGGGCAGCCCCAGGCACCATCTGTCCGCTTGGCTGCGGTCTGGGCAGGACGCCCTGTCAGAGCTGCCTTCTCCTCCACTCCTGGTCTCCTACCGGTCTGTCCTACGGGAGCAGGGTCAGTGCTTTCTGTGTCATACTGTCACACTGCTGGCAGCCTGAGAACCTGCCGTCGGCCAGGAGCTGCTCCCATTCGGTGCTTGCGTGTCTGTGGCCCCCACTTCCCGGGGTGTCCCTTCTCCCATTGTGCTTCCTTGGAGAGCCAGCCTGTCCCACCACCAGAGACCTGGGTGACACAAAGGCCTTCGCTCTAAGTAGATGGTGCAGTTCCTTCTCTTAAAATCACTCATCCTGGGCCAGGGGGGAGGAGCTCAAAGGGTTCACACACATGCCAGGGCCCTGATACAACTCCCAGCACCACTGAGGAGCTTCTCAAAAATGACCAAGAGGGGCTGGATCCATAGCACAGAAGGTAGGGCATTTCCTTTCACGCAGCCGACCCTGGGTTCAATTCCCAGCATCCCATATGGTCCCCTGGGCACCAATAGGAGAAATTCCTGAATGCAGAGCCAGGAGTAACCCCTGTGCATCGCTGGGTGTGACCCAAAAGAATATATATATATATATATACATACACATATATATATACATATACATATATATACATATATATTTATATACTGGATAGCCCTACAGTGGTAGGGCATTTGCCTTGCACACAGCCAGGCCAGCCGAGCAGGGTTCGAATATATATATATATATATATATATATATAGCAGATATATATAGCGAGCAGCCAGCCTGGCCGAGCTGGATTCGATTCCTCTGCCCCTCTCGGAGAACCCGGCAAGCTACCAAGAGTATCTCGCCTGCACAGCAAAGCCTGGCAAACTACCCATGACGTATTCAATATGCCAAACACAGTAACAATAAGTCTCAAAATGGAGATGTTACTGGGCCTGCTCGAGCAAATCAATGAACAACGGGAGGACAGTGTTTGACAGTATATCTAAAACCAAGGAACTTCTATTAGCACAGTTCCTTGCACACAGCCAACCTGGGTTGGATCCCTGGCACCCCTGATGGGCCTCCAAGCCCTGCCAGGAGTGATCCCTGAGCACAGAGCCAGGAGTAAGCCCTGAGTACCACCTGATGTGGCCTTCCCCTCAAAAAATACTAAAACTTTTTTTTGTGTGTGGGAGGTCACCCAGCGGTACTCAAGACTTAGTGCTGGCTTTGCTCAGGACTCACTCCTGGAAGGAACCAAGAAACAATATTTGATGCTGGGGATCGAACCCAGATCAGCCAAGCCAGCTCAGCACCTTCACCAACGCCTGAACTCTCCTCCCAAGCCTTAAACAGAGGCATCAGGGTTTTGGTGCCAGCGGCATCTGTACATAGAGAGTTCTCACACGCTAGGAAGTGGGCTTAGATGCCAGTGGTCTCCTGCGTGTTGGGTCCTGGCTGGGAAAGGGGGTGGCCCTGGCCTCCCTGTGGCTGGCCTTTCTCTCCACCTGGCTGAGACGTCCTCACTCCCCCTGCGCCCGGGCCCCTCTCGTCCCCTTCACTACAGAGAAGGCAGGAGGGTCGGGCTGTGGGTGTGAGCCGCGCGGGCGTCCGTGTGCTTGCAGGGACACGGAGATCGGCGACCTGAAGGCGCAGCTGTCGCGCATGCAGGAGGACTGGGTGGAGGAGGAGTGCCACCGCGTGGAGGCCCAGCTGGCCCTGAAGGAGGCGCGCAAGGAGATCCGGCAGCTCAAGCAGGTCATCGACACCGTCAAGAACAACCTGCTGGACAAGGACAAGGGGCTGCAGAAGTACTTCGTGGACATCAACATCCAGAACAAGAAGCTGGAGACGCTGCTGCACAGCATGGAGGTGGCCCAGGACGGGGCGGCCAAGGAGGACGGCGGCGGCAGCAGCGGGGCCGGGGAGTCCGCGGGGGGCTCCCCGGCCCGCTCGCTCACCCGCAGCTCCACCTACACCAAGCTGAGCGACCCGGCCGTGTGCGGCGACCGCCCGGGGGTCCCCGGCGAGGACGGCCCCGACAGCGGCTTCGGCACCACCGAGGACACGCTGAGCCGCACGGACGGCCTGGAGGCCAGCAGCCTGGTGTCCTCGGGCGTGGACTGCGGGCCGGACGAGGCCTCGCTGCACGGCTCCTTCAGCCTGGGCCCCCGCTTCCCCGCCAGCAGCGCCTACGAGAAGCTCCTGTGCGCCATGGAGGCCGGGGTGCAGGTCAGCTGCATGCAGGAGCGCGCCAGCCAGACGGACTTCATGCCCTGCCAGCCCGACCTGGACGCCCTCCTGGAGAAGGTGGCCAAGGCGCAGGCGTGCGGTGCGGACCCCGCCGCCGCCGAGGCCGGGGACCGGTGCCCCAAGGCGGAGCCGCGCGGCCCGGGGCCCAGGGACGCCAACTCCACCGTGGTGGTGACCGTGGGTGAGGACCCCATGCAGCCCATCATCACCCAGGGGCCCACGGCGCTCCGGCCCGGCGCCGCGCCCAACCCCGGCCCGTCCGTGAGCGTGGCGTGCCCCGACGACGAGGAGGCGGCGGCGGCGGCGGCGGAGGCGGGCGCGGCCGAGAAGGAGCCCAGGAGCTACTGGAGCCGCCACTACATCGTGGATCTGCTGGCGGTGGTGGTGCCCGCCGTGCCCACCGTGGCCTGGCTGTGCCGCTCGCAGCGCCGCCAGGACCAGCCCATCTACAACATCAGCTCCCTTCTGCGGGGCTGCTGCACCGTGGCCTTGCACTCCATCCGCAGGATCAGCTGCCGCTCGCTGGGGCCCCCGGGCGGCTCCCAGCTCTGAGGGGCCCCACCCCTCTACCCCTCTACCCTGCTACCCCCCTATCCCCCCACCCACGCCACCCCGCCCCGCCCCGCCCCGCGGCAGCTCCAGGCCCGACCACTGATTGTAGGGGCGTTTCTTTCTCTCCCGCCTTCCCTGGGGGGCAGAGGCGGGTTTTTATTTGAGTCTGGGGCTCTGGGAGCTGTTCTTTTTTTTTCTTTTAATTTTTTTTTCCAGGCGGTAACCACGTGGTGGGGCAGGACATAGGGGTCAGGCAGGCAGCCCCCAGAGAGAAGGGACCAGCGCGGAGGCGGGGAAGGCACCCTGGTGGGACACGTGGCCCCAAGAGGGTGGCCAGACCCCAGCCCTGCCCGCCCTGCCCCCAGCGGAGCTCGTGGGTCCCCTAAGCCCAGGAGGTTGGCCCGGAGGAGCCCCGGTCCCCACCCTCACACCCCACCTTCTCGCCCAAGCCGCCCCCTGTCCAGCCCAGGTCTCGGGGCCAGTATTACCCCTCAGATGGAGGCAGGCACAAGTCCTCCCCGACCCCAAGCTTTTCATTTTTTTTTCAGCAGGGTTTGGGCCGGCTGGGGCTCCCCACTTCGGGGTCCCGAGGTGCAGTTGGGCCACAGGCTGGAGGAAAGGGCAGGATGAGGCGGAGGCTTGGAGGATTTCGTGTTTGTCTCTCGTCTGTCCCCCCCACCTCCACCCCCAGGGCCGTTGCTGGCCTCCTGGGCACATCGCTTCCTCCTCTGGGGAGCTGAGCCCGACTGGGAGGAGGGAGGCGGGGGGTCCCCACAGCTGGACTCAGCAGTGCTCTGCTTGCTAGAAACGCCAGACCCCTCCCAGCTCCCCCCCCCCAGAGCACACCCCACATTTCTTGGGCTGGGGGCCAGGGGGTGGGGCCTCAGGTCAGACATCCACTTTGCACTCAGTTCCCTACGGGGGCTTGTTGCTCCCACATCCCAGGGTGCCCCCGTCGGGAGGCTGCCTGCCGGCCAGGATGAAAGCTCCTCGACTTCAGGCCTGTCTGTCTGCGGGGGCAGGAGACGGGGCACTCCTGTGAAGTGGGGATTGGAGCCGAACTGCTCCTTCCGGGTGAAGCCGCGTGGGAGACCTGGGGCGCGTGGTCGGCGGGAGCTCCCCCCTCCAAGCTGCCGACACGGACGCGTCGCCTTGACCCTGGGAGCCCCAAGCCATCCCCCACTGTCCCGGTTCCCGGCTGCTGTCCAGAGGTTCGGCCCATCTTGAGCGTCTCCCTCCTCAGGCCTCAGGCGACTGTGTTTCTCTGCCGAGGTTGCTTGCTCACGATACCCCCCCCACCCCGCACCACCCCGCTGCGCCACCCCTCCCATGCCCGCAGCTCAACTGGGTGGGGGGCACCCGCATGTCCCCAGAGAGCCAGCGGCCAGCCCGGCCACGGAGCACACGCCCCCTCCACCTCGAGCTTCATGCCTCCAAAGCCGCCCCCGCCTTGGTCCTGACTGCACACCAGCCAGCCATCCTTCGCAAAACATCCCCCCTTCCACCCCAGGACCGGCCAAACCCGCCTAGCTGGGGGGGACCCCCGGGACCTGGTTGTGCTGTGAAGGGGGGCTCTGTGCCCAGCCCATTCCAAAAACCCAGCCCTGGCCTGGCCCGGCGTCCTGGGCTTGCTCTCCCGCCGCTGCGTGGTGTCGACTCAGAAACTAAGCTTTGCCGAGGAAATAAACGTGCGGCTCTCTTTGGCAACGTGGAATCTCTGTCTTTCACCTCGGGAATGTCGTCGTCGTCATCATCATCGAGCTGTGTGACCATCGCCCTGCTCCTACTCCCCCCCCCCCCCCCACAGTCCTGCCGGCGTCTTACTCTGTGGCCTTCCTGCTGTGGCCTGTGCTTTGGTGGCCGTGGTTGGTGTTCTTACTGTGGACGGAGCAGTCACTGCTGCAGGTCCAGGGGCCTGGAGCGGGGTCGGGGGGTCGAGGCGAGGGTCTGAGGCGGGGCTCTATGCTGGCCCCAGCCCCCCTTGCCCAGAGTGCCCGGGGTAGGGGGCCCCCAGCAGGTTTTTTTCTCTTGCCAGTGGAGACGGCTCCCAGCCCCTTCCGCCCGTGACCCAGGGCTCCTGTGTGTGTCTGCGTCTGCGTGAGTCTGTGCGTGTCTGTGCGTGTTCTCCTTTCCGCATCTATGCAAAAGGTGCAGCCTGGCCGGGTGGGGGCACAGCGCCTGCTGGCTCAGGCTTCAGCCCTGCCACTGCAGGGCCCACACTCGGGGGCTGGAGGCCAGGCCAGGCCCAAGGTCCCTGCTACTGCTCAGCCTCCAAAGCGTCCCTCGCCCTCCTGCCTCGGACCTCCTCCTGCCAGCCGGGACCTCACGTCCTGCCCTCAGCTTCAGGAACAGAAGCCTTGGGGCCTGCCCCCTCGCCCCCAGCCTCGGGCCCCGAGCTGATGGGCTCCAAAGGAACCCCATTCCCAGGAACCGTCTTCTGGACCTCCGCTTCCCCGGGGCCGGCAGCCAGGGGAGCTTGTTCTCCGCGGCCCGGCCTCAGTCAGCCTACATGCCTAGCGCCAGGCTGCGGCAGGAGTGAGGTGGAGAGGGGCACACCAGGCTCCCGCCGGGTTTATTCCAAATATCTCCCCAGGGGGAAGACAGCTTTTCACCCACTGCCCTTCCCAGTGGCCGCTGGCACTGGGCAGGGTCCATGTGACAGCGCCTTGAAGGGGGGCCTTGTCAGGGTTCTCAAGCAAAAGCCCCCAGAACTCACACCCCCCTCTCTGACCTGTGGGACCCCACAAACGGGTCACAGTGCACTCATCTTAGACCATCCCCTTGACAGAGAATTCAGGGGATACAGGCGAGGGGAGGTGGGGGGGTCTTCACTTCTGTCTCCTTCGTCCTTTTGTTCAGCCAGAGTTGTACCCACGGCGCTCGGCTCTGAATTAAAGCATGGAAACACCTGCTCTGGTTGTGTCTTCTTTCTGAGGGCAGGAAAGGGCGGCTCACACACGCACGAACACACACACACAGACACATATGGACTCATACACATGAACTCACACAAATATACATACAAACACACATTCATACAACAGACACACATACACACATACACAAATATGCATACATTCACACAAACATTCACACAGGAACTCACTCATAACAGCAACTCACATAAATATACATACACTCACACAAGCACACATTCATCTACACATTCACACACACGTGTATATTATGAACATGCACGCACACAAATATATTCTCACAAATAGACATATACTCTCACACATACACTGTCACTGTCACACTGTCCTCTCTTTGTTCATTGATTTGCTCGAGCGGGCCCAGTAAAGTCTCCATTTTGAGACTTGTTGTTACTGTGTTTGGCATATGGAATACGCCACGGGGAGCTTGCCAGGCTCTGCCGTGCGGGCAAGATACTCTCGGTAGCTTGCCGGGCTCTCCGGGAGGGGCCTGGCAGGGGAGATACCATGATCACACACATACATATTCATACATTCACACACACTCACACACAAACACATTCATATACACTCAAACTCATGCAACACACACAAATATACAAATACACTCACACACACATACATGTACTCAAACATACACACATGCACTGACTTACATTCACACATATAAACATACAGACACACACACATACACATGCACTCAAATGCAGATAGAAACACATTCATATACTCACACTCATATGCACATTTACTCACATATACACACATGCAATCACATAAGTAAACATACGCATATGCATACAAACATGTACTCATGTGTCCACACACTCTGGACAGTGTCCAAAGGTTCACTCTGGGCAAAGGGACCCTCCGAGATTTTTCCAAGGTCGGGAAGCCTGAAAATTTGCCCAGAGCAGAGGGGCTGCGAGACGACACACACCACCGCTGGCACCCCCAGGCCAGCCCACCAGCCCTGTGAGCGTACCCCCATTCCATTCACCACAGGCACAGGAGCAAGCCGGAGTGAGATGAGGGGCAGGGCAGGCGCCAAAACTTCTGCCAACCCCAGCCCAAAGCTACCAGGGCTGCTCGGCCCCTGCTGTCCTGCTGCCCGCCCTGCGCCCCACTGGCCTCCAGATTCACTCAGTGAAGGGCAGGGCCACCCCAGCCCTGGTCCTGGGAGCGAGGACCCAGAACCTTCCACTGCTCTGAGAAAGGGCTTCTGTGCCCTTCAAGTCGCTTCTCCTTATTCGAAAGAAGTGAAGGGTTGGAAGCGCATGCGAAGAAAGAGGAAAGGAGAAAGGGAAAACGTTTCACGAGACTCTATTTCTGTTCTTTGGAAATGGAGCTGTTTTTCTGGCTGAGGCAAACTCTTGCCAGGGAGGGGCTGCGCCCACAGTGTGACTGCGGCTGCAGCTGCAGCGTGGCTGTGGCTGGAGTGTGGTTATGGTTCAAGTGTGGCTATGGCTGTGGCTCAGAGCATGGCCGCAGCCTGACCCGACTCCGGCCAGGACCCCGCGGCCTGTTGAGTCCAGCAGGTCGAGCCCCGGCTCCCAGCACGCTGTCCTTCGGGGGGCTCAGACGTCAGGGACAGAGCGGTCCATGGTGTGCTGCAGCAGGGTCGGCGACAGCCTGGGAGAACAAGAGGAAACTGAATACTGAGCGCAGGGCTGCCCGGGCTCCCCACTGCTGAGGAAGGGGAAGGGGAGTGAGGGAGGGAGGGAGAGGAGGAGGAAGAGGAGGAAGAAGAGGAGGTGGAGGAGGAGGATAGGAGGGTATGAAAGAGGGAAGGGAGTGGTGTGAAGTGTGGAGGGAAAGGGGGAATGGAGGGGCTCGGGGGGGACATGGAAAGGTGTGAAGGGGTGTGAAGAGAAGGGCATGGAGGGGCACACATGGAGGGGCACAGAGGGCGAGCATGAAGGGGCCCGAAGGGGGCGGGTACTGAGGGACGCACCAGGGAGGGACGCTCACCTTTTGACCATGTGCTCATAGATGACAGTGGGGATGATGGTCAGGGTCACGACCTGCCCCGTGGCAGCCAAAACCTCTGTAATCTCTTTGTCCTGCAGAGGAGACAAGTGAGGTGTCACCGTGAAGGCTGGGATGACCCTGAGCCCTGACCCCAGCTCCAGGGCGAGGTCACCCCGCCGTGGCACCATGCCCACACCCAGCTCTGGCTGCAAAGCACCAAGGGAAGAGCCGCAGGCTGAGGGTGCAGCATCCTCCCCCGGCCAGCCTGAGCAGAAGGCCTCAGTTTCCATCCTGCTGACCCGACAGCCCGCAGGGAAACGGGGAACCAAGGCTTGGAAGAGTGGGTGTGAACCAGGCGTGATGGCCATGGCAGAGGGCCCCTGGCCCTTGAGACCTAGAGACCCAGAGAACCCCGGCCTGGTCCACGGCTCTTGCTCGGACCTGGGCTGAAACAGGAGAAGTGGTGCTAGACAATGCCTCAACCATCTGAGGCGCTAGACGGGCCCTGGGAGGGATGATCAAGCTCCAGGCTCACAGCATTGGGACAAGCACGGTCCTCGGACACTGCTTGGCAGGAAGTGCCAACAGCCGCCACCAGAAAAAGGAACCGGTGGCCTCCTGGGAAGGAGCCCCCCTCCCCCCATGGTCATGTCCATGAAGGCTGCAGCATAGTGTGCCCTGACCTCACTCCTGCCCCGGAGAGCAGCTGCTCAGAGGCATGGCTGTCCCCCGAGGGCTAAGGATTGTGGGGCCTCTCTAGAGCTTTGTGCCTGGCACCCAGCAAGGGGACGGGGGTGCAGCAGGAAGGAGCTGAGGGCTGGAGCGACAGTACAGCAGGTAGGGCACTGGCCTTGCATGCGCCAAGCCAGGCTCAATCCCGGCACCTCAGGTGGTGCCCTGAGCAGCATCAGGAAAGATCTCTGAGCACAGAGCCAGGAGTAACCCTAAGCTCCAGCCCTCCCCCCCAAAAAAATGTGGTACCCAGAGGAGAGGGAACCACCTCCAACAGCAGCTACACCCCCCTCCCCACCCAAGGCTGTCCTGAGCATCCTCTAGAACCGGTCCTCCAGCTGCTCCTCCTGGCCTCTGGGGCCAGAACCTGCCTCGCTAAAGCCCCCATGAATCTCCCGGGCATCTCCCGAGCACTTCACACCTGCCCACTCCAGCTCTGCATCCCTTTGCTCTGTCCCCAGCCCTCGCTGCACAGGCGCACGAGGGGGGGGGGGGGGGCAAAAGGAGGCTGGGAAGGGGCGGTGGCCACACACACGAACATTTCTCTACCCTGGGCCCCGCCCCCCCCAGACCCTGATTCTGTGTGCAGGGAGGCTGCAGATGCTACCTTCATCCCGATGACGTTCTGCCCGTTCACCTCGCAGAGGTAGTGGTTGGTGAGGAGCCCGTTGCGGGCGGCCGAGCTGCCCTTCACCACCGAGCACACCTTCCCCTTCTTGATGACGAAGCCCAGGTGGCCGGTGCTGTCCCTGTGCGTGGTGACCGTCCGCTGGAAGGGCCTGGCAGAACGGGGACTGTGTGAGTGGGCCTGGGATATGACTGGGGACCCACTCCCCCCCCACCCGCCACTGCCACAGGGGCCGGTTGCTCACCTGTCGCGGACGACCATGACGATCTTCTCAGCGGATGCCTTCTTTATGGCCCGGTGGGCTTTGTCCTTGCTCCACCCAGCACAGTCACGCCCATCGATCTGCAGGATCTGGTCCCCAAAGCGCAGCCCCACCAGGGCCGCGGGTGAGTTGGCCTGGACCAGCTGCACGAAGAGGCCCTGTGGGAAGCCGGACATGGCAGTCAACGCCCTGCCTGCACCCCGTGTCCACACCGTGGCTGGCCTCCCGCTGCCCCCAGTCCCTACAGAAAAACAGCAGCTCTGCCTGGCTCCGAGTTGCCCAGCTTTCCCCGGGAGCAAACACTCCGGGCCCAGGGGCTGGGAAGCCAGTGAATCAAGACCTCGACCTTGGCTGTACCCCTAAACGCTGGCTGCATCGGGGCGGGCAGTGGGTCAACCCATACCCCAACTTCCGCTCTCTACATCCAATGCCTGGAAGCCCTGTGACCTCGGGGACAACAAGCAACGGGGAGACTTGGAGTCACACGAGCCCAAGAGGGTCAGGGGCAGGTCCCAGCTGGGCCCGGAGGACAGCGCTAGCACCTGAGGTCAGGAGCCGGGCTTGAGGGTTGGGACGGACCTTCGCATAGTGTTGGGTGATACGGGTTTGGGCTAGGGGTCAGGGCTCCTGGGCAGTCCAGGGGTGCGGGCGGTGCTAGCCAGGACCTGCCAGGTCTCCGAGGGGCCCCCCTCCCCCCACCCTCACCCCCAAGCCCTACCTGGTCGATGGGCTGCAGTCGCAGCCCCGTCTTGCCCCTCTCATCCTTGCACAGGTGGATCTCGCGCACCCCCGGCTTGATCTCTGCTCGCCGCACGCCCAAACTATTCCCTGACACCGGCGCTACCATCAGGCCCTGGGCCGCCATCTGCAGAGAATCAAGAGGTTCAGCTAAGCCCTGAGGTGGGAAAGGAGGACGGAGTGGTCCCCTGGAGTGACCCAGCCCAAGACCACACACTTCTCCACCCAGTGAGAGGAGAGGTGGCTCCCTGCGGCCACTAGGGGGCGACAGAGCCAAAGTGCCTGAAAGAGAACCTGGAGGAAAATGAAGGGGGCTGAGGGGAGGTACCCTCATTTCCCCAGGCAAAGCGATGTGTGAAGGAGACAGACCCCTTTGGTATCCACTTAAAAATCAGGAGAAAAAAATCTTAGCTCACAGTGAGCCATGGGGAGAAAGTTTGATTTTTTTGTCTGAAAAATAAATGAAGAAAAAAAGAAAAATGTGGGGCTGGAGCAATAGCACAGCGGGTAGGGTGTTTGCCTTGCACACGGCCGACCCGGGTTCAATTCCCAGCATCCCATATGGTCTCCTGAGCACTGCCAGGAGTGATTCCTGAGTGCAAAGCCAGGAGTAACCCTTGAGCATTGCCAGGTGTGACCCAAAAAGAAAAAAGAAAAGAAAAGAAAAGAAAAGAATAAAAATGAATAAGCAGGAAGAAAGCAAGGAGGTCCATATGAATCACTCCTGTTAAACACGCATGGGAAGCACTAACTATAAGAAAAGGAAATAGGGACCAGAGCGACAATACAACAGGTAGGGTACTATCCCCGGCATCCCATATGGTCCCCTGAGCACTGCCAGGAGTAATTTCTGAGTGCAGAGCCAGGAGGAACCCCTAAACATCCCTGGGGGTGGCCCAAAAATAAATTAAAATAAAAACAAAAAAGGAAATGAAAGTCATGCAGGTAGAAAAAGGAGCAGGAATTTTTTCTACTTACAAATGATATGACAGTATACTAGAAAATTCCAAGGAAACTACAAACTATTTTCTTCCAAAACCAAAACAAGACAAAAAAATAAACCAACAAAATTATTTAAGACCCCCCAAAATTAAGTTGTTGATTCTATTGAAATAAATTAATGTAGCAAAATAATAATCATAATAAAAGAGCAAGAACAACTCAGCAGAGACAAAAGAATCTCTTCAACAAATGTAGGATGTTTTATATGTATATACGTGTAAAAATGACAAGGCACTGGTAAAAGATCATTTAAAGATCTAAATTATTGAAGAGGTCATTTATACTCTTCAATTTAAAAAGTAGAGTGGAGACTCGAGACATGGCCCAGATGGCAAAGTGCTCGCTTCACATGCTGCTGGCCTGGGTTCTATCCCCAACACTTAAGATGGTCTCATGAGCCTATCAGGAGGGATCCCTGAGCACAGAGCCAGCAGTAAGCCCTGAGCATGACCTGGTGTGGCCCCAAAACCAAATCAAAAAGAAAAGAAGAGAAAAAGCAAAGTCAATGTGTCAATTGTCCCCAAATTGATATACTAACATGTCAATTTTTTATTAAAATCTCTACAAGATGATTTATAGATACAAGCAAGGTTAATCTAAACTTTATGTGAAGAAAAAAAAGAGCTAGAATAAATAAAGCAATTCTGACAACAAAGAGGCAAGTGAGAGCAATCATTCTACAACATTCTGAGATTCATGATAAAGGACAGAATCAAGACAATGTGGTATTGGCAGCCCTCTGGATGGATGGCAGACCCACATCAGAACGGAAAATGCTGAAACAGCCTCACACAAACAGGCCCCTGCTCTCTATAAGAAAAGCAAGCACTTATAAGTGGATAGTCATGGAGAGTATCGTGCTAAGTGAAATGAGTCAGAAAGAGAGGGACATAGATAGACAGAGATATAGAAGGACTACTCATTTGTGAAGTATAAAATAACATAACATGGGACTGACTCCCAAGGACAGTAGACACAAGGGCCAGGAAGATTGCTCCATAGTTGGAAGCCTGCCTTATGAGCTGGGAGAGAAGGCAGCTGGAATAGAAAAGGGATCAATAAGAAAATGATGGTTGGAGGGATTGGTTGGGACGGGAGATGTGTGTTGAAAGTAGATTAAAGACCAAACATGATAGCCTCTCAGTATCTGTACTGCAAACCATAATGCCCAAAAGTATAGAGTATGGACAAAATTGTCTGCCATGGAGGCAGGGGGAGGGTGGGAAAGGTGGAAGTATACTGGGAAGATTGGTGGTGGGGAATGTGCACTGGTGGAGGGATGGGTGTTTGACCATTGTGTGATTGTAACTCACACATGAAAGCTTGTAACTATTTCATGGTGATTCAATAAGGAAAGAAAGAAAGAAAGAAAGAAAGAAAGAAAGAAAGAAAGAAAGAAAGAAAGAAAGAAGAGAGAGAGAGGGAGGGAGGGAGGGAGGGAGGGAAAGAAAGAAAGAAAGAAAGAAAGAAAGAAAGAAAGAAAGAGAAAGAAATATAGAAAGAAAGAGAGAAAGAAAGAAAGAAAGAAAGAAAGAAAGAAAGAGAGAGAAAGAAAGAAAGAAAGAAAGAAAGAAGGAAGGAAGGAAGGAAGGAAAGAAAGAAAGAAAGAAAGAAAGAAAGAAAGAAAGAAAGAAAGGAAGGCAGGCAAGCACAGGGGCTGGAGTATAGCACAGTGGGTAGAGCACTTGGAGTTGAATGCAGCCAACCCAAGTTTGATCCCCAGCACTCTCTATGGTCTCCCTGAGCCCCTCTAGGAGTGATCCCTGAGTGCAGAGACAGGAGTAAGCCCTGAGCATCATGGTGTGGTTAAAAAAAAAAAATAGAAGAGCAAGAACAACCCGGTGGAGACTAAAGAATCTCTTCAACAAATGGTTGAACATCCACAGGCAGGACTAATCTAAACCTAAACCTAAATTATAACCTAAACCTCATACCTTTTACAAAAATTTATTCACACAAGATTATAAAGTTCAATGTAAACTTGAAATGACAACTGTTTTAGGAGAAAATTACGGGAAATTCTTCAGGACCTAGGGCTTGATGAAAGCCTTATACCAAAGTATGCGCCAGAAAAGAGAAACACTAACCAATGGGCCTCACCGAAGTGTACAACTTTCCTTAACACTGGGAAGAGATATTGGCAAAAACACCGCCCACAAAGAGCTCGCAAATAAACAGCTCTCGAACCTGACTTTAAAAACCAAGCCAGCACCAGAGAGAGAGTCCAAAGGACTCAATCGTATGTTTTTGTTGGGGCTTTTGTTGATTTATTTGGTTTTGTTTGTTTGTTTGTTCTGGAGACACACCCAGTGGTGCTTGGGACTTACTCCTGGCTCTGTGCTTAAGGATCACTACTGGTGTTGCTCTGGGGGACCATATGGGATGCCGGGGATCAAACCTGGGTCAGCCACGTTCAAGGCAAATGCCCTACCTTCTGTAACCCCATAGGCTGAATGCACTGATGCCCTTACTTTTTGGAGCAAAGACGGATTCTATCGATAGATTTAACCAATCTATAAACCAACTTATAAACAGTGTTGACACTGGATTACAGCAGCACCTTCTTTACTTCATGTTTGGGCCTCACAACCTGACTATCAAGGGGATCGTTCTGGAGAAACAGCCCAGAACATCACCCACTCCTCTCCAGCCTCCACCCTCGACACGCTCACAGAATCCTCTTTGCTGTTTTGGCAAGATCGACAGCGACCCTTTGCAACCTCTGCTCAGGGAGAGAGGCTGGAGACCAGGATGCTGACAGATGCACACAGAGGGGCTCACTAGAAGGGGCCCGGGGGGGGGGGGGGGGGCACATGGTCCACGTGTGAGTATTTGGTGAGAGGTTTATTTCGCTCCCCAAAGTAAGGAGGGCAGAAAGCATTGCTGGGTCATGTGGGGACCTGAGATGGGTGACAAACAGCCAGCCCTTGTGAGAACCTTCAGGCTCAAGCTGGGTCTCACACCCTCCATTGCCAGGCAGCTAAAGGTCAAAGGGCAGGCAGTGACACTTCAACCTCAAAGTCTCAAAGTCTAGGGAAAAACCGTGAACCCCACCCCATGTTTAATGGAATTTCCAGAAGAAAAGTGTCAAAGGCAGGAAGATGGCTCGGAGGACTGCGGAACATGCTGTGTATCTGAGAGACCCAGGCTGGACCCAGGAAGGAAGGAAGAGGGAGGGACAGAGGGAGGGAGGGAAGGATGGAAGGATGGAAGGAGGGATGGAAGGAGGGAAGGAGGGAGGGAGGGAGGGAGGGAAATATGCACCAAAATGAAAAGCATCAATAAAAAAAACAGCCATGGAGATGCCCAGGAAAGAAATGATTCAGGTCTATTGAAACCGACAGACCAAGACGGAGGAAAACCAGAACAATCCGTGAGCTGTCAGCCAGGAGACCAATACGTACACTGGCACCATCTGGAGTCTGAAGCAGGTTCTGCTGGACTTCTTGGCTGGTGAGGGAAAGACCCATATAATTTTCCAGTTCTGCCAGGTTTGGGTAGAGAACTGATGGGAGCGAAGAAAGAGGAGGCTGTTACTCACGGGCTCGGCCACATCCTCCGGTGCTCAGGCGTTGGCTCATTTTTGTGAGGAACCGGGACTACGTCCATTTATTGCCAGGAACACAGCATGCCCCCGAGTAAGCTACGCTTCTCCCCCAGTGGCCCTCGATGGTGAGGTGGGCCCTCGCCTTAGAAGGTGGGGGGCAGGGCTGGAGCAATAGCACAGTGGGTAGGGCATTTGCCTTGCACGTGACCAACTGGGATTCGATTCCCAGCATCCCACATGGTCCCCAGAGCACCGCCATGAGTAATTCCTGAGTGCAGAGCCTCGAGTAACCCCTGAGCATCGCCAGGTGTGACCCAAAAAGAAAAAAAAGAAGGTGGGGGCCACAGAGACGTCCGGGGTGTCTGAGCCTGTCAGCCCCCGCACCCCCAGCACTGCTGAGTGAGGAGAGGAGAGGGATGGCCACAGAGACAAGTCACAAAGTGGCATGCCCTGATCTCTAGAGCCTCTGGCCCCCCACACTGCACCCTGCAAGCCCCCAGCTCCGCCAGGCCCAAGCACGAGCCGCCAGGCCCACACTGGTGAGCGAAGTACCAGTGAGGGAACTCATGGGTTTCCGCCCCGTCTGCATCGGGCAGAACCGTTTCTCGGTGTCCACAACCATTTCTCTGTGTTGGGGACCCTGGCCTGAGCAGGGCCTGGGACACCCCAGGAGAAAGAAAAAAGTCTGAGTCCCAGGTAAGGGGGTTGCCTTTCTCCACAGCTTTCTGGGGATACCGAGTCCCCTCCCCACACACACACACTCTGGGGTTCAGGTGAGACTACGGGTGACTGACACTGGCACTGCGGCCCCGAGCATGTGTGCTCTCCGCAGGTTTCACCCCAGGACTGCGAAACGAAAACACAGTGGCAAGGATAGAGGGTGGTTTGCTCCCCTAGGGCCTGTGTCAAGATTTCCCCAACCACTCTAAGGCCATCTTGGGGGACCTCAAAGATGGGGGGGTCAAGTCAGGGTGGTTGGTGGTCACTCAGCTCAGTGGGTCCCTAAGGGTGGAGTGGAATGTGTATGAACACCCCCCCCCCACACACACACACACACGTACACGTCGGCAGCCACGAGGCAGCCCTGAGACGGGTAGGAAACAGGCTGTGTCCTCAGGGTCTGAACCCTCGATCCCCAATTCATGCCCTACAACTGGGATCCTCTCAAGAGACCATCTAAGTCCCAACAAGGCTGACTGGCAGAGAGAGGGGGGTCATGGAATAAATGTTCAGATTTTCCCAAAATTGGTGAAGGCTGGAGTGATAGTACAGGGTGATAGTACAGCGGGAAGGACGCTCACCTTACATGCGGCCAACCCAGGTTTGATTCCCAGAATCCCATCGGGTCCCCTGAGCACCACCAGGACTGATTCCTGAGTACAGAGCCAGGAGTGACCCCTGGGTATCGCTGGGTATGGCCCCCACTAAAAACAACCAAGTTAGCGAAACCCTCAACCCCATAAACTTGGAGGTGGGGCCTCTGAGAAGGTCATTTAGGTTACATGAGACCCTCGGGGTGGGGCTCTGGGCTTATAGAACCTGCGTCCTTACGGGAAAGACACGGAATGCACACTGTCTCCCTGCACCCCACTTCCGGGCGTGTGAGGGTGCGAGGGGGGGGAGGCCAGGAGAGACATCACCAGCCACCACCTTCAGCCAGACCACGAGCTCTGCAGCGTGAGACACACCTGTGGCCTCAGCCCATTGAGCAGACAGATCCGTGGGGTTCTGGCCCCTTCTTTCTGTGACAGGAGCTCCCTGGCACTCCTCAGCTGTCCTCCACTCTCAGCCTGGCAGGGAGCCTGGCAGGTGGGCGTGACATTCTGATCCTGGGGTCACAGGAGCTGGGGTCTCCCGAAAGGGGTTGGCATACGGATGTGGACCAGCGCCCACCACTGACATCAGAGAGGGACCCTCTGTGCTGGTACCAGACAGGCATGGGGATTAGGCAGAGAGGGAGGGGGGACAGCTTGGACCTGGGGGGAGAGAGGACCCCACCAAATCAGCCAGGCTTTGGATGGAAGTGGGATGGGAGTTGCCTCCTCGTGGCCCCGGAGTCCCAGAGCCCTCCAGGGTGGCCCCTCAGGGCCAAGGTCAGAGCACCCCACCCCCTACTCACCTGGAGCCTGGAAAGTAGCTGTTCCCTGGATCAGCAGGGCAGGAGTCGGGGGCTTGGCTCTGGCCTGGGCCTAGGAAAGATGGGCATGAAGGTCAGGACTGTGGGACCCTTGGAGCCTGGGGGTCCCGGAGGTGGGGAGTGGGACTGAATGGGAGCTGTCCATGAGACTTCGAGGTCATATTTACACGTGACCTCTAGTAGAGACCCTGGTGGAGGGGGTTGGGTGTTTTGGTGGTGGAATAACTTTGTACACCTCAAGCAAAAACGTTCACACTGTTGTAAACTATGGCCTTTACCTCAATAATAATTAAATTTAATTAATTAAAAATAAACAAATATGGGGGGGGCTGGAGTGATAGCACAGCAGGTAGGGCGTTTGCCTTGCATGAGGTCAACCCGGGTTCAATTCCCAGCATCCCATATGGTCCCTTGAGCACCATCAGGGGTAATTCCTGAGTGCAGAGCCAGGAGTAACCCCTGTGCATCTCCGGGTGTGACCCCAATAAAATAAAAAATATATATATGGCCTCTGCAGATGTCCATATTCCTTTGTAGGGAAGGCAGGGGATCTTGGGCCATACCCAGCTGTGCTCAGGGACTAATGCTGACTCTGCTCAGGAGTAACCCTCCTGAGCACTTGCGGGGAGTCAAACCTCATGCAAGGCCCCTCTACTGTCTCTCCAATTTAATGTCCACACTTTTTCTTTTTTTTTTTTTTGTGACACATCCAGCACCTAACGTTGCACAGGAGTTTCTCCTGGCTCTACACTCAGGAAATACTCCTGGAGGTGCTCAGGAGACCATATGAGGTGTGGTGGGATTGAATCTGGGTTGGCCGCGTACAAGGCAAATGCTCTCCCCACTGTACCATCACTCCAGCCCCATGATGTTTATACTCCTGAGGGGCAGTTTGTACATAGGCCATAACCCACCGAATGTCAGAGTCGATTTCATAATCGAGAGAGGCAGCACATGGACTGGTAACCTCACAACTAAGTTCTCAGGTGGATAAAGTCCTAAATTCTCAGAACCCACTGAGGCCACTGGTGGGTGGAAGGAGAAAGGGATTTTAGGGGACTAAGCAGGCTGAGCACCAGGACCAAGGGTTCACTCTGCAAACCGCCCTACCCCGTGGGGACTCTCAGTCCCCTGGGCAGAGTGAGCCTGGCTTTCTCCATCCCATGGCTTAGCGTCTGGATACCTTGTTCAAGGGCAGGGGGATAGGTTATGATGGGGGGAAGCTGATGGCCCAGGGCGGCACTCCACCCCCAGCTCCTTTCAAGACTGGGCTCCCTTAGTTACCCCGGCCTGGAGGCTTACCTGGATGGCCTGGTCCACCTTCAGATCCTCCAGAGATGGGTACAACACAGCCATGGCTGCTCCTCAGGATGCCTAAGGGGCACAGGGGGTAAGGAGAGGTGAGTGCCAAGAGGAAGCAGAGGGGCCACCTCCTGTCCCCGTGTGCCACTCTGAACCTCAGGAGAAAGATCACAGAAAGGTGTTAGAGCCCCCCGCCCCATCCTTCCTCTGGGTTCCACACTGCAGGTCTGCATCGGCCTTGTCCACCTTTTCTCTGTGGCTGGCCCTGGCCTGATTACACCTTCTCTGGGTCCCACCCACACCACTTGTTGACTGTGGGCAGGAATTCCCAGGCCTCTTCGCAATTCAGGATAAGGAGCCGGCCGCCTGCCAGCAGACACTCTGTCTCCTTCATTCACAGCCTACTGGCGGGTCAGGGTCTCTGGCCTGTGTAGGGCTCGCTGGCCACTCCGCTCCACACAGCTTCCTCCTCTGGACTGTGGGCTTTCAAATGGAATGCCACGTTTTCGGTTGTGCGGTTGTTTTTCACAGGCTCTGGGAGTTGCCCCACCTTTGACCATGGGTGTTGGTGACTTTTACTGCTTCTGCTGCCAGTCATTGCTCAGTGTACATGATTGATGTTTTCATTCAAATCAAGTTTTCTTTAAACATTTGAATGAGGGACCCGAGCCATAATTCAGTGGGGTGGGGTGCTTGCCTGGCACAAGGCCCCCCTGGGTTTGATCCCAGGCATCCCGTGTGGTCCCCGGAGCACCACTAGGAGTAATCTCTGAATGTAGAGCCAGGAGCAACCCCTGAGCATGGCCAGATGCAGCCAAATTGCAAAACCAAAAATTAATGGTTTAAATAAAACATCACTAATAAAATTAAGGGTGGGGTTTGGAGCAACAGCACAGCAGGAGGGCTTTTGCCTTGCACGTGGATGACCCGGATTCAATCCCCAGCATCCCATATGGTTCCCTGAGCACCCCCAGGAGTAATTCCTGAGTGCATGAGCCAGGAGTAACCCCTGAGCATCGCTAGGTGTGACCCAGAAAGCCAAAAAAATTTTTTTAAGTGAAAAAAACATAAAATGTGCTTTCTCACACTGGATCCCACTTCACAAGGTCAGGGACGGTGTCCTGTTTGCCAAAATATGCCTCCCCACCACCAAAGTGCATTGTTGATGTAATGCTGAGAGAGTATGGCTGCCCTCGGGCACGTGGATGCTGGCAAAATGACCTGACTGAAACATCAGCGTTTTCAAGGAACCAAGCGCATGGACATGTCTGGATGGCATGAAACAGATGAAGAACTCTGCGGGGAGTTAGGAAACAGAGAGCTCAGACCTAGACCTCAGCTCATCCTAGCATACAGACCTCCCAGAGCCAGAGTGATAGCACAGCAGGTAGGGCATTTGCCTTGCGTGCGACCACCCCAGGTTTGATCCTCTGCACCCCATATGATCCCCCAAGCTCACCAGAAGTGATTCCTGAGCACAGAGCCAGGATTCACCCCTGAACATCACCAGGTGTGACCCCAAAGCCAAAAAAATAAAATAAATAAAAAGTAAGCTGGGGGCCGGAGCGATAGCACAGTGGGTATTTGCCTTGCACGCGACCGACCTGGGTTCAATCCCCGGTATCCCATATGGTCCCCCAAGCACCGCCAGGAGTGAGTCCTGAGTGCAGAGCCAGGAATGACCCCTGAGCATCGCTGGGTATGACCCAAAAAGCAAAAAAAAAAAAAAAAAAAAGCTGACTGCTGACCTGCGTGCTTTCTGATGTACTGCCCTGTCTGTGTTTATTTCCTATTTTTATTATTGCTATTATTATTATTATTGTTGTTGTTGTTGTTATTATTTGGGGCCACACTGGGCAGTGGTCAGGGCACTCCTGGTTCTGCACTCAGGCATCACACCTGGCAGAGCTCAGGGCACTAATACGGGGTTCCAGGGATGGACCCCAGGTCTGCTGCGTGGAAGGCAAGGGCCCTACCAGCCGTACTATCACTCTGGCCTTTTATCCTGTTTTTTAAAAATAAAAATCCGGTGGATTATTTCCCATTCTAATATACAGTGTAATATTCGGAAATGCATCTCGGACTTGAGTACAGGGTGCCTTGACCAATCCCTAGTTAAAATCCCAGGAGCACCGCCAGGGGTCACTCCTGAGCACAGGAGTAAGCCCTGAGCCAGGAACAGCCCCAGAGCAGAGCCGGGTGTGGCCCAGCCCTCCACCCGCCTCTCGGGTTGGGAAGGGGAAGTCACACTTTGTTTTGTTCAGCGTTTGGAAAAATCGCTGTCCGTCCTTCTCAGCACCTGCGTCACGGAACACCCGGTGTGTGTGCACGGGGATGCGTCCTCCGAGAATCCACACCTGGGTCCCCGAGCAGCCTTTGACTCAGGGTGCCCAGTGCAACGTGTTGGCAAAGTGCTGCTCCATCTCGTCTTGCACTAGACCCAAATGTGCTCTTTTAAGTTCGGCACAACGAAGGGCGCGACTGGGGAACAATCCAGTCTGTGCTTTTACAAGGCCAGATGCACCTTCTTTGATTAAAAACCCTTTCACTGCTTTATAACACGGACAGCCGCTCTCCCCAGGAACCGCTGCTGGGGAACCCTCCTCTGGACACCTAGCTGTCCACTTGCTGGTGAGCTGAAATTCCCTGCACCGGGGCGTGGGGGCAAGTCGCGTGGGTCCCAGGGCCTGTTCTTCATCCCAAACCTCAGTTCCCCAATCTGTCATTCCCCTCTGTCGCGGAGCTTTTCCACGGCGCCCACTCCCGCCCACCGAACCCTGCTGGAAGCCACGTGTCCGTGGGTCTCTCTGGGCGTTGGTGCCCGCGCAGGGTCCCCGCGGGTCCGCTAGGGTGCGCTGTGGCGTGCAGAGCGCGCAGTGGCGCCCAGAGCGCATGCGCGGGGCTCCGGGCCGTTCCCAGGATGCTCCGCGGGGGGGAAAGATGGCGGCCCCCATGCGGCGTGGGTCGTGACGGACCGGCCGGGGCTGCCTGGAGCCGCACCGGCCTCCCGCTTTCTCCAGGCACCTCTAACCGGCGCCAGAATCCTCCCATCCCCTCCCAAGAAAGAAAATAAAATCCTGTTAAGGCTTCAGAGCTAAGGGATGGGAACTCGGGGTCAGGCTTCGCATTGCCTGTTTTCCTGCGCTGGAGATGAACAGGGGGAGCAAACTCGGCTGCGAAGGGGCGAGCCACACACGTGGCCTCCCCCACGCCCTCGAGCCCCCAAGGATGCTTAAACGGCCTCGGAAAGAGGGAGATTCTGTTAGTGAGATTAGTTAGTAAGATCCTGGACCTCGGGAGCTGGGAGGGCCCATGGCCACCTGCCCATGACTGCTGAGGTCGGAAGGGCCTTGGGTCCCGCTAGTGGGGAAGGCGCCGCCCCACCCAGCTCTCACCGCAACCTGGCTGGAGCCCCAGAGCGGGGATTTGTGGGGGCCAAGCAGGTCACGACTTCCTATCGCAAGTTCGAACCATTTGACCTTTTTCGTGTGGGGGACACACCCGGTGGTGATGTTCAAAGATCACTCCTGGCGGAACCAAGGGGACGCCATATGGTGCCAGGGATCAAGCCCAGGTTGGTCACGTGCAAGACTTTGACCTGCCAGCCTGTCATTCCGTACCCAAATCCCTGCATGTTTTGGATCAGGCAGAAGGGTCTGTGGATTCAGGACAAAAAGCTAGGGCAACAGGACGACCTCCCTCCTGGCTGGAGGGGAGGGGAGTCCACCTGTAGATCCTCGCTAGTTACTGCCAATCATTTAAATTCATTTCCTACCCACCCCCAGTTTTGGTCACCCACCAGGGGCCCCATGAGATCTACATCCCTACAACTCCTTATGGTCTGAGACAGAAATCTGGGACTTAGCTGCAGCACTGCCTCTCCCCCTTGAAGCTTAGACCATACCAAGCTCTTAGACCATGGGTTCAAATCTTCACCACCTGACTCTTGTTCTTATCTCCAATCTCACCTCCTGATTCTTCCCCCCCATTCATCCTGCATTTCATTCATTCCAGACTACTTAGTGTTCTTTAAAAACTCCCCCTGAGAGTTCACAGTCTGGAGCTATTCCCTCTCGTGAATGCCATTTACTCCTTCAGCTGTCAAATTCCTCTTCAATCCTAAACTCTCCAAATCCTCCCCAGCCCACACACAAGCACAGTTAGGTAGATCTCCCCTTCCTTAGATCTCAGAATCTCATTCACCTCGACACCCATTCCAGTATCATCAATCCCCTATGTGAGCAGCTGTGCAGTCCCTGGTTGGAGTTCCAGTGCTCTATCTGTTTGCTGCCTCCCTCTCTGAGCGGGGTGTCATGGATTTCTGAATCCTCCATGCTAAGCTCAATGCCTGGCACATAACAGGCATTCAGTTTCTTCTATTTTTGTTTTGGGAGCCACACCCAGCAATGCTCAGGAATCATCAGCCAATGCTCTTAGGAATTATTCTTGGCAGTGCTTCGAAAACCATATGGGATGCCAGGGACCAAACTCGGATCAGTTACATGCAAGGCAAGTGCCCTCCCCACTGGACTATCATTCCAGCCTGAACATCCAGATTCTTTACAGGAATGGAAGGGCAGAAACAGAGTGAAGAAAAAGTTCTGTAGGCTTGGAAAGGGAGAGAGAACTCATTGCCTGGCTGAGAGGCACCCCCTGGCAGTCTGGCAGTGGAAGGTTTGCTCAGGTGGGTGTGCTAATGGCTTCCTGAAATTAATCAGAGCTTTTGAAAGGAAAAGAGCCCTCTCCCCGGGAGGAATTTTCCTCTCCCACTGCTCTTTCCAGAATTTCCATCCTGAACTGCTCTACTTTTTGACATGAAAAATCATGCCCACGACAAGCCAGCATTCAGTCTTTTGAGCTCAGCCGTGCTGGAAGGGGAGGGTGGGGTCTGTCCACAGCCCCCATCTTTGGACTTGAAATGAGAACACGCCTGAGGAACATGCTTTGTTCCAAAGAGCTGAAGCTCTGGGGCTCCCACTCATTCCTGTGGACAACTCATCTAGCCTTCAGAAGACAGTGGGCGGGAGGTGAGCGTGGGTAGCGTCAGAGGAACAGCTCCTGGGAGGCCAAATTAGCCCAGAGATGGGGAGTCAGGAAGTCAGAAACGACGGGGCCGTTGCTAGGCCACCGGCTGGACCCCCTTCCTCTCAGAGGCTGTTCTGTTGGCTCCAGTAGAGCCGCACACGTGCTCAGGGAAGGCGGCGGGGCTGGCTTCAGGCTGCTCTGACTGAGTGCAAGCCTGGGAAATCCCTTTGGCTCGTGATTGTTTGCTTCACATGATGAGTAATGATGCCCGCGTCACAGTTACAGTGATGAAAAGATCTTCAAAGATAAGACATGTGCAGGGGAGGGGAAGTGCAGAAAGATAGTACAGCCGGTAAGGTGTTTGCCTTGCAGACTGTTGACATGGGTTCGATCCCTGGCACGCCATATGGTTCCTTGAGCTAAACCAGGAGTGATCCCTGAGCACAGAGCCAGCCGTAAGCCCTGAGCACCACTGGATGTGGTCCAAAAAGGCAAAAGAAAGAAAGAGATATGTCCAGAAAGCCTTTGACATAGTCCCTCAGTTACCATCCTTAGTAATTCTTTATTCGTTCATTGTATTGACTGAGTGTTCAGCCCCAGGATTGTTCTCATCATTAGGTGGTGAACACAGGGAAGGTTGTCCTGAGTGGTGGTGCTTTCAATGAATGTGCCTGCTTGTGTGAGGGTGGGAGGTGTTGCGGGATGGAGGGAAGAGAAAGGCGGGGGTGACCTGTGACCTGTCAGAAGGGTAAGACCTAACGTTGAGGAAGGTGTCAGCTGTGTCCAGTGAGGCTGTGTCCCTGAGGTGCGTGTCAGCTATGCCCAGTGAGACATGTTCCTGAGGTGACTGTGTCCCTGATGTGCGCATCAAATGTGTCCAGAGAGACTGTGTCCCTGAAGTGACTGTGTCCCTGAGATGCGTGTCAGCTGTGTCCTTTGAGACTGAAGTCGGTGGCTCGGGGGAATTTCAGGAGAGGAGGCTGGAGCAGCAGGAACAGGGTCTGGCGTACCCAGGGCACAGGGACCTGCCCTGCCATGAGTTTGAAGCCACTGGAGACGGCAGAACCAGCACAGTGACATGGACGGGGTTTCATGTGCCAGCACTTCCCACCGGGGGTGCTGGCTTAGCCGCTGTGGGGAGATGGTGCCGAAGCAGAGAGCACTGGAAGTGCTGCGGATTGTACCCAGGGGAGAAGAGATGGACTTGGGGGGCAAGTGATGCTCAGCCTCTGTCTGCCTGTGGCCTGGCAGGAAAAGCCGCTGGCTTATGGGGCTAGAGCAATAGCACAACGGGTAGGGTCTTTGCCTTGCACACGGCCATCATGGGTTTGATTCCCAGCATCCCATATGGTCCCCCGAGCACCGCCAGGAGTGATTCCTAAGTGCATGAGCCAGGAGTAACCCCTGTGCATCGCCAGGTGTGACCCCAAAAGAAAAAAAACCCAGGAGGGGAGATGCATGTCGAAAGTAGACTATGGACTGAACATGTTTGCCACTCAAAGCCTCTTTTGCAGACCACAACACCCAAAAGGAGAGAGAGAACACAAGGAATTGCCCTGCCACAGCGGCAGGGTGGGATGGGAGGGATGGGGGTGGGAGGAATATTATCCATGGTGGTAGAAAATGGGCACTGGTGGAGGGATGAGTATTTGATCATTGTATAATCGAAACCCAAGGACAAAAAATTGTAAATCTACAACTGTACCTCATGGTGTTTCACTAATAATAAAAAAAAAAAATGCTGGTTTAGAAGCAGCTGCTGTGTAGACCGTGAGGTGCGGCCAGTGTGCAGCGGCCTTTCCTTACCACCTGCCCCATTTTATGACACTGCTGGGTGGGGCGCGCCCTGGCCCTGATGTCCATCTCAGTTATACCCTCTGTGTGGATGTTCCAGAGCTCTAAATGAGGGGTCAAGGTCTTATTTTTTTTTTTTTGGGGGGGGGAAGGCGCCCATACCCAGTAGTGCTCAAGGGCTTACTCCTGACTGTTCAGGAATCACTCCTGGGAGTGCTCGGGGAACCCTCCAGAGTTCCACGGCTCCAACTGGGTTTGGCTGCATGCAAGGCAAGTGCCTTAACCCCTCTACACTCTCCCTCCTCCTTCTCCTCCTCCTCCTCCTCTCCTCCTCCTCCTCCTCCTCCTCCTCCTCCTCCTCCTTCTCCTCCTCCTCTTCTTCCTTCTCCTCCTCCACTTCCTCCTCCTCCTCCTCCCCCCCACGCAGTACAGAGCAGCGTGTGGGTCCCCTTTCCTCCAGCACTATCCCGGGCTGTCAGGAGCCTGCGACCTTCCTGATGTCCAGATGAAGATGACCAGTGGCTAAGGGCTGGGGACAGAAGAGGAAAGCCCAGTTTGCGCCTTGCTTCCTGGGGCAA